TATCGAAATGTTATGGCATCCATAACAGGTGAATATGTTTCATCAAAATCGACTCCAGGTCGTTGTGAGAATCCTTGTGCAACAAGGCGAGCTTTGTATCTTTCAACTTCATTTTTATCATTCATTTTTCGCACAAAAACCCATTTATGACCAACTGGTTTTATACCAGCAGGTGTTTGGACTACTGGTCCAAAGACCTCTCTTTTAGCAAGTGACTTCAATTCCGATTGAATTGCCTCTTGCCATTTTGGCCAATCAGATCTTTGTCGACATTCTTCGACAGATCGAGGTTCAAGATCCTCACTATCTTGCATAATATTAAGTGCAACATTATATGCAAAAATATTATCCACCACTATTTCAAATCGATTTAAATTAATCCCATCACCGTTCGAACTTATTAAAAGTTCCTCACTCACATGAGCTTCGGGTTCATTGATTTCTTCAGGAATCTCAGAACTAATCAGATTTTGGGTCTCTTCAGGAGATCCCTTCATAGTATCGTTTTGATCATTTGTCGATTTTCTTTTTCGAGGATTTCGATCCTTAGAACCCAAAGGCCTACCACGCTTCAGGCGTGCTTTAGGTTCACTAGCTCTCATGCTAGTAGATGGTCCTACTGGGACATCAATTCGGATAGGCACATTCTCTGCTGGGATATGTGACTTAGTTATCCTTTTCAAATCAGTAAATGCGTCTGGCATTTGATTTGCTATATTCTGTAAATGGATGATCTTCTGGACCTCCTGATTACATATAGGGGTACGGGGATCAAAGTGAGATAATGATGAAACTTTCCACACAATTTCTCTTTTGATTTCCTTTTTCTCTCCCCCTAATTGTGGGAAATTTGTTTCATCAAACCGACAATCTGCAAATCGAGCAGTAAATAAATCTCCTGTCAATGGTTCAAGATAGCGAATAATAGAGGGTGATTCAAACCCAACATATATTCCTATCCTTCTCTGTGGTCCCATCTTACTACGTTGTGGTGGTGCTACTGGCACATATACAGCACATCCGAAAATTCGTAGATGGGCAATATTTGGTTCATGACCAAAAACTAATTGTGACGGAGAATATTTATTATAATGTGTCGGTCTAAGACGGATAAGTGATGCTGCATGCAAGATAGCATGGCCCCAAACAGTAGTGGGCAATTTTGTTTTCATAAGTAGTGGTCTTGCTATCAATTGCAAGCGTTTAATAAATGACTCTGCAAGGCCATTTTGAGTATGAACATAAGCTACAGGATGTTCAACTTTTATCCCAACGGATAGACAATAATCATCAAAAGCTTGAGATGAGAATTCTCCAGCATTATCAAGGCGAATAGCCTTTATAGGATAATCTGGGAATTGTGCCCTTAATCGAATTATTTGGGCTAATAGCTTTGCAAACGCCAGGTTGCGAGATGATAGTAGGCACACATGAGACCATCTTGAAGATGCATCTATTAGGACCATAAAATATCTAAACAACCCACTTGGTGGGTGAATAGGTCCACATATATCCCCATGTATACGCTCTAAAAAGGCAGGGGATTCAATACCAACCTTCATTGGTGATGGTCTAGTGATCATTTTTCCTTGATAACAAGCATCACAAGAAAATTCGTCATTTGTAAGAATCTTCAGGTTCTTTAATGGATGCCCACTCGAATTTTCAGTAATTCGTCTCATCATTATTGATCCGGGATGGCCCAAACGGCCATGCCAAAGCACAAAAGTATTTGAATCCGTAAACTTCTGGTTTACGATAGAGTGTGCTTCAATTGTACTAATTTTTGAATAGTATAAGCCAGAAGATAAAGTTGGTAACTTTTCTACAATGCATTTCTGGCCAGAAATATTCTTTGTAATACAAAGATATTCCCTGTTCATTTCATCTATTGTCTCTACATGATACCCATTTCGGCGGATATCTATAAAACTCAACAAGTTTCTTCGGGACTTGGAGGAGAACAATGCATTGTCTATAATAAGTTTTGTTCCCTTAGACAGAAATATTATGGCTCTTCCGGAGCCTTCAATCAAACTTATATTACCAGAAATTGTTGAAACATTTGCTTTTTCCTTATGCAAATAAGAAAAGTATTTCTGATCGTTGAATATGGCATGAGTTGTTCCACTATCAATAACACAAATATCTTCATGATTTGTCTTTGATCCAAACATAATTTGAGGGTTATCCATATTCTTCAAAATAACATAAATAAAATATATTATAGTAAACATCATTATCAAAGCATAACTTTTATTTATGTACAACAATTACATAACCATACTATCTATTACAAACAACAAAAATTAAAATATTTACATTTCTACAGATTCACTACCGATTACATGACTTGTTTCTCCTTCTGGGAGTGCAAAGTAATCAGCTACATCCAAATGCATGAAGTCTAAATTATCTTCAGAAATAAAATTTGCTTCAGCATTTTTCTCTGTCTTCTTCAGGGAGGCTTGATAAAGCTCAACCAGGTGCTTTGGCGTACGACAAGTACGTGACCAGTGCCCTTTTCCTCCACATCTATAGCATGCATTTTCTGCATTTGGCGCTTGCACCGCTTCATGCTTTTGTTCCTTCCTTTTCCACTGCTGGTGGTGAGGAGGCTTCTTTGGTGCATTATTATTACCATGATTGGGGTTTCTTCCCCGACCACGGCCATGACCACGACTGGGGCCACGACCTCTTCCACGTTTAGCTTGGTGGAAGTTCGTCTCATTCACTTCAGGGAATGGACAAGAACCAATAGGTCGGCTTTCATGATTTTTCATTAATAGCCCATTATGTTGCTCTGCTATAAGAAGATGTGAGATAAGTTCAGAATACTTTTTAAATCCCATCTCTCGATATTGCTGCTGCAGGAGCATATTCGAGGCATGAAAAGTGGTGAAAGTTTTCTCCAACATATCATGATCAGTAATATTATCACCACATAATTTCAATTGGGAAATAATTCTGAACATAGCAGAATTATACTCACTGATAGATTTAAAATCTTGTAGCCTTAGATGAGTCCAATCATAACGTGCCTATGGAAGAACGACCATCTTCAGGTGGTCATATCTATCTTTCAAATTATTCCACAGTATGACTGGATCTTTAATAGTAAGATATTCCATTTTCAGGCCCTCATCAAGGTGATGGCGTAGGAATATCATTGCTTTGGCACGGTCTTGGTTTGATGCCTGATTTTTGTCTTTGATGGTGTCTGCCAGACCCATCGCATCAAGATGAATTTCAGCATCAAGCACCCAAGACATGTAGCTTTTGCCCGATATATCCAGGGCTACAAATTCAAGTTTAGAAAGATTTGACATTATTTAGGAAAAGAAAGTTCTTACCTCAGATACTTTCAAAATATTTGCTCGAGATGGTAGAGCTTCGTGCTGATAACGTGTTATAAAATAAAGACTATAAAGTAAAGACAAGTATAGAGAGAAACTGATATATTATTCGAATTCAAACTGATGTACATAATGAACTGAAATCTCTTCTATTTATAGAAGAAAGGAAGCTGCTCTGTAAGCTGCTACTACAAGCTGCTGTGTAAGCTGCTACTACAAGCTGCAGTGTAAGCTACTATAAGCTGTTGTGTAAGCTGCTACTACAAGCTGCTGTGTAAGCTGCTACAAGCTGCTGTGTAAGCTGCTGCTGTACCAGATATGGATAATCTTCTACTGAGAGCAATATTTATCCATAACGGAGTACTGAATGGATAAGCTTATTATACCCGGTATGGATAATCTTCTACCGGGGGTAATGTTTATCCATAACTGGGTACTGAAAAGATAAGCCTATTATACCCGATATGAATAAACTTATACTGGGGGTAATGTTTATCCATAATCGGGTACCGAAGTGATAAGCTTCTTCAGGAAGCTTATTTCCAATATAGTACTAAATAGATAAACATATTTACGGTGGAGTCCCATATGGATAAGCTTCTTCAGGAAGCTTATTTACAACGGAGTACTAAATGAACATCCGTAATATAATATATTTATAACAATCACATTTTTCTAAGCAAAGTATTTTTTTTAAAAAAAATTAGAATATAAAACACAAAAAATAGAGGAATTACAGTCAATTCTATCTATAACAGCCTTATTTGTTCCGAATATTTTTAGATATTATAGCAAAATGATGTTATAAAGAACATATATATATTATAATATAACATGAAGTTTGGTTCTGGAAAAACTTGACTTTTATAGTGAAATGTTGTTATATAGGAATGTTATTACAGAGTACATACTACTCCCTCCGTTTCAATTGATGTGAACCTATTTCCTTTTTAGTCCATGCCAAAAAGAATGACCTATTTCCCTATTTGGAAACAATTTACCTTTATGCAATGATTTATAGCCACACAAAATATATGTGCTTCATTTTACACCACAAGTTCAAAAGTCTTCTCTTTTTTCTTAAACTCCGTGCCCAATCAAATGAGTTCACGTAAACTGAAACGGAGTATTTCAGAAGCAATCTTGTCGCATGGTGGAAATGTTATGGAAGTTATGTATATTTGGTTAGCATATATTTGTCCGATGTTTAGGGTCACTATGGCATGGCAAGTGTCAGTTTTCAAAAAAAAAATAAAAATATTTATGCTTTTTTAATGAAAATGTCATTTCGTAGTGTTTGATTATTACAAAATAATTTTCTTTAAAGAGAAAAAAATGACTTTTCTTAAGGCGTAAGTTATTTTTCTTCAAGTTACATTTATTTTGACTTCTAGCATAAAGAATATGCTCAAGCAAAATCATTCTCTGTAATTAAATTGTACAGCTCACCGGTGGGACTTTAAAGTGAATTAACTAAAACTTTAAGGAACTGAAATGTAAATAAGAAACAATTAAGCCTTTTAAACCCAACTGCCACTAACGTCTGTGGACAACGAATAAAGCCAAGAGTACTCCTCTGCATTGCTACATCAACTGCTGTAACAAACCTGTGAACTTGCATCCACCATTAGGGTAGTAAAGCACATGCTCTCAAAGCTACCCTCAAGCATTCGTCCTAATCTGAACCTCCAGTTCCGGCGTGCCCTTGAACCTCATGGAGACATGCGACGTGCCCGTCAATTGTTCGATGAAATGCCCAAACCAGATATACGATCGTGGACGCTCTTGATCACCGCATACACGAAGAGGGGTTGTCCAGAAGAAGCATTGAAAGTCTACAACGAATTGCGGCAGAGGAAAGTTCTTCCTGATCAGTTAGCACTGTTATCAGCAACCAAGACTTGTGCTACTTTGGGCAACCTTATAAAGGCAAAAGGGATTCATCAAGATGTAATTAAATATGGATATCACTCCGATTTGCTCCTTGGAAATGCATTGATTGACATGTATGGCAAGTGTAAATACATTCGAGGTGCAAAAGAGGTTTTTGATAATTTAAGTGCTAAAGATGTAATCTCTTGGACGTCGATGAGTTCGTGCTATGTTAACTGTAAACTTCCAAGAGAGGCGCTAAGGATATTCCGTGAAATGGGGTTAAATAGGGTGAGGCCAAATCCTGTTACATTGTCTTCTATACTTCCTGCCTGCTCGGATTTGAAAAGTTTGAATTTGGGTAGAGAGATTCATGGTTATATTATTAGGAATGGGATACACGATAATGTGTATGTTAGCAGTGCTCTTGTGGACATGTATGCTAGTTGTTCAAGTATCAAACAAGCAGAGTCAGTATTTGATAGTACGCATCAGTTTGACTATGTTTTATGCAATGTCATTATGTCAGCATATTTTTCAAATGGGAAATGTGACAAAGCACTTCATGTCTTTGATCAATTGAGAAAAAGAGGAACTAAACTGNGTTGAGAAAAAGAGGAACTAAACTGGATCCCGATTCCTGGAATTCTGTTATTGGTGGGTGCATGCAAAGTGGAAGAACAGATAAGGCACTTCAAATACTTCGTGAAATGCAGCAGTCAGGTGCAAAACCAAATAAAATCACAATCACCAGTGTGTTACCTACTTGTATAGATCTAGGAAGCATAAGAAGAGGTGCAGAGATTCATGGTTTTATCATTCGCCGTTTATTTTCGGAAGATGAGACAGTCTCCACTGCTTTGGTACTCATGTATGCTAAATGTGGTGACCTGGAACTATCCAAAAGAGTCTTCTATATGATGCCAAAAAAAGATACTATTGCTTGGAATACAATGATTATTGGAAATTCAATGCATGGGAAAGGAGAGGAAGCTTTGATGCTTTTTCATCAAATGGTAAGTTTGGGGATGAAACCCAACTCTGTTACTTTTACTGGCGTGCTATCGGGTTGCAGCCATTCACAGCTGGTAGACGAGGGTCTTTTGATCTTTTACTCAATGAGCAAGGAGCATGGAATTGAACCTGATGCAGAACATTATTCGTGCATGGTTGATGCTCTAAGCCGTGCTGGTCGCCTAGAACAGGCATATAATTTTATCCAAAACATGCCCCTGAAACCAACTACTAGTGCTTGGGGAGCATTGCTTGGTGCATCTAGAGTATACAAGAACGTGGAATTGGCACGAGCTGCCGGAAAACAACTGTTGGAGATTGAGCCAGAAAATGCTGGGAACTATGTTTTGTTGTCCAACATCTATGAAGCAGCCAAACTACGAGAGGAGGCCTCAGAAATTAGGAAATTGATGAGAGAAAGAGGAATTATTAAACTTCCTGGTTGTAGTTGGATTCAAGTGAAAGACAAAGTGCATACCTTTGTTGTCGGTGACAAGAATAATGCTCAGACTGCAGAGATTAACAGCTTTTTGGCTGAAATAGGTGAAAAGATGAGGTTAGCCGGGTATTTACCCTGTACAGACCTTGTTGGCCAAGATCTTGATGCAGAGGAGAAGGAATACAGTTTGTGCAATCATAGTGAGAGGCTTGCTGTTGCCTTTGGGATTCTTAATTTGGATGGTGCATCGTCAATTAGGGTGTTCAAAAACTTGAGAATATGTGGAGATTGCCATAATGCCATTAAGTATTTAGCCAAAATTGTTGGAGTGCAGATCATTGTGAGAGATCCTCTAAGGTTTCACCATTTTAAGGATGGGTTATGCTCCTGTAGAGATTTTTGGTGAAATAACAAATGCCATCACGTATTAAACTTGATAAGCTGCAAGCATAAGAAATTCTTAAGGGATATTTGGGGGATCTAAGCTGATAATACTATATGAAGAAGATTCCTTTTGTTCTTCTCCGAGGAAAATATAAGTCTAAAGATGTCATCCACTGTGACCATGCTTGCGGTTGCAACTAATGATTTAGAAAATTTTGCTAGCACTAGCTTCGTGACATACACTCAGCACAAAGGTTCTACGGCCTAGCCTTGTATGCAAAAATGTAACATTTCAATTCTAACCGCCTTTAGTCACCTCATTGTATGTCTGAAGGTCGTCTCTTCAGAGTGGCAAAGTCCTAAGCAAGCAGAAGAAAAGGTGCTACTGCCAGGTTTGGTACCTGGGACTATAATACGAAGTGTATATGTTTGCCGGTCAATATTGATACAATAAGATGATTGTTATTCATGGGAACTTAAATCAAGGAAGAGTGAGAATTTATATTGGTTCCGTTGTTTATTTCTCTTGGTATTGATTTCTATCCATCTGTCTGTCTGTTTCTACTTTACCACTGCATGATCTATGATGGGCACTAAGTTGTTTGTTACTTATTAGCTATGTACTCCTTGCCATGATTTAAGATCTCTTAATGACATAAAAATTACTTAATTGAGCACACTTTTATTGAAAACATCCCCATATTTTGATGATTGTGGGGTAAAGGGAACAAAGATTGAGCTCACCTTTGCTGTACACATTCCCATATTTTGATTATCGTGGCGTCGAGGGGACATAGACTGTCATTAATTAGCACTTCTCTGTGATGATCAGTACTTTGTACTCTATTCTGAGTAAATACAAGCATTAGCAATGTTTGTAACTAGCTATTAGCATGAAATATTACTCAAGCTTGATAATATACAGCAAGATAGTTTTTTCAATGCTTGTCCAAATTGAGTCAGAGAAAGTTTAACCTTGTAACTTACAAACAAATTCAGACCAAGAAATGATACACAAATTCTAGAATCTCTCCATCATTCAAGTTGGGCATACCAGATACCCTGGATTTTCACATCCTTGGGGACCTTTGCACCGAGATCAGTATCAGATGGCTGGATGCTCTCAAATACTCCAATGACCTCACCGGTCTCTGGCTTGCACTGGGTAACACTCAGGGTGATCTTTCCTGTAGAAGATGCAGTATTCTTTACGTTCTCCTTCTCAAGCTCCTCCTCGTCTCCTCTCCCTCCAGCAGGCAATGCAACAGCGTTGTCATAGCCAGTAGATCCACCCCGTCCCTTTGGGTCAAGGAAGGATGAACCTCTGTATGATGGCACAAGGAATTCACCGCTAAAGCTTTCTGGTTTGCCGCTTGCCACTAGCTGTTTGATAGTGAAGAGGAAGGGCACACGCTCACCACCAGGAAGCTGAACTGTAACAGCAGCATAATCAATTCCATCCTTCTCCTCAAACTTAACAGTGCCATCAGAAGACACTTCGAATGGTCCCTCAATCTCATCAAGGGTGTAGGTTAAGCGTGTCATGAGCTTGGTTTTCTGGAAATCTGGGGGTGCGTTCTTGTTCACACTCTCTGCCTTGACCGTGAATGATGTGGGCTCTAAGCAGAATTTCTTGGCATTGTATTTGCCTGGCTTGAAGGCAAAGCTGGCAACACCTCCATCTATGGTAGGGCACTGGTTAGCAGTTCCAGTTCCCTTTACTTCCATGTATGTCTTGCTTTGAATTTCGTCAAANATTCTTGTTCACACTCTCTGCCTTGACTGTGAATGATGTGGGCTCTAAGCAGAATTTCTTGGCATTGTATTTGCCTGGCTTGAAGGCAAAGCTGGCAACACCTCCTTCTATCGTAGGGCACTGGTTAGCAGTTCCAGTTCCCTTTACTTCCATGTATGTCTTGCTTTGAATTTCGTCGAAGGTTAGACGTTTTGGAACTCCTTCAGCATTTGCTCCCTAGCAGCCAAGTGGACAAACTTCAGGAATTTTTGCATGAGAAACAAGATTTTCAAATTTAATTAAGACAGAATCCCTAAAACAGTTTATCCTTACAGAAACATGGATGCTTGTCCTGAAATACAGATGACTACATGAATGTCCAGAAATGAACAATGGAAATTTTGACGAGATTGGATGATTGGATATAGACTGATCTTACTATTGGAGGTGCTATTGTGTGTATATATTGGGTGACAATGGTAAAGAAGCCCTCTAAAGTATTTCTATGTATCCTCAAGCACCTGATTTAGATATTTGGAAAAGAATATAAGGCCTACAAGCTCGAAGAATGTTACCTGCTTTTAGAATCATCGGTATGCCATACTGGTAAGGTAGCATTCATCTCTGATCCAGCTGTAGTGTTCCTTATGATCTTAAACTCAGGTGATTGGTTTTACACCAACGGAAACCATAAACTTCATACACAATAGAGGGATATGATAGAGTTTTTTTTTTTCTTTATTTTTTTTAATAATGAATGGAATTCCTTCTTTCATTCTATCCCATTCACCGGTACTAATCACTAAGTGTAAAAGTGGCTTTCTTGCTTTTGTGCCTACTCATGATCTAAACAAGTCGCACATACACCCAAGTACATGTTCCTTAACGCTGAGGGCAACCCCCCCCCCCATAGAGCAGGGGATCTCGTGACATCTTTCATTGGTTGTTTGTATTTCTAATAAGTTATTTAATAGCTGGCATGTTGAATCATATACATAATGTGATGAATTTGCTTAGATTGATCCTAACGGAATGATGATGAGAAACTGCTAATTTGTTTTTGTCTGGTGACTAGAGCCTTCATGCAATACCTAAATTGTGCTGTCTGAATTTATGACTTTATTATGCGGGAAAAAGCACTGGATATATGGGAAATATGGACATGAAGCAGGCAGAATTGAGTAAGAAAAGCAACTTACTGAGACGACAAGGGCAGAAGTGGCCAGAGCAAAACCAGCAACCTTGGCAGCATCAGTGCACTTTTGAGCCAAGTCCTTGAGTTCAGTTTGCAAAGAGCAAGTAAGCCTAGCTGCAGCTGGTTCAACACCAAATGCTTTGCTCACACTTTGAGCAGACCTCAACTGCAGGTTGTTTCTAGCTGGGGCAACACCAACCTTTGTTGGTTGCATTAGAGTAGCAGCTGCTTGTAGAGAGGCAGCCATAATTTTACCCTTTTCTTGATCAAAGTCTTCTCCTCTCTGTTTCTATTTTTTTAGGAAGTGGTTGAGTGGCAGTAAGAAGTGGTTTGTATGAGAGGCTGGACAAATTATTTTGGTGGCTTTGCTGTGAGTAAGATAAGAGATAGGATAAGGGCTATTTTTCATTGGTTGGTTTGAGTATTAGCCTATTATTTGGTGGCCTGCAACGTGGCAAAGTTAGTATTTAGGATAAAGATACTCCCTTTTGTAATCTTGCCAGGAAATTAGTGGACTACCGCGTCTTGCCTTATTTGAAGGTAAAAATGTAAAATATTTATTGACACTCGACATTTTACATTTACACCATATCATGTCTTTTACGTACTATTTTATCCTCTTAGCCAATGTTAATTAATGTCACCTCGATTTATCACTTAAGCTAGTAGATTCATTCCTAGAATCCCGTCACTATAGACTGTGTGTTTTGGTATAAACATTGTGTGTTTGAGAATTAGCTTGATAAATTATACGTTATACCAATATGGGAAGAATACCCTTATGAAAAGGTGAAATAAAGAAAATCAACTACCAGGCCTCTTTGTTTTTGTTCAGGTTTGGGAAAAAGATTTAAAAGGTTTTAAACGATTCTTTTTGGTTTTTAAAGTAATTTTTATTTCTAAAAATTAATCCAAAAGCCTTTTTGAAAAAAACAGAAGTAACTCAAAAAAAAAAAAAGGGGTGAAGAAAAAGACAATTAGGAATTTTAATCATTTATTTGATCCTTGTACTATTAGAGCGACTATGGACTTGTATAATAAAGCCAAGATCCGAGTGAGAATAGTGAGAGGAGACTTAGAACATTTTCTAGTCGAGATGGGGTTGCGTCAGGGATCATCTCTTAGCCCGTTTAATTTGCTTTGGTGATCGAAAAATTAACATGACATATTCAAGGGGAGGTACCATGGTGTATATTTTTTTTATAGATGACATAGTCTTAATTGACAAGAAAAGAGTCTAAAGGTTTCAGGTTGAGCAGGACTAAAACGGAGTATATGGAGTGTGAATTCAGTGATGAATCACATGAGGCGGATGTAGAAGTAAGAAGCGGTACACAGGTTATCCCCAAGAGATGAAGCTTCAAATATCTTGGGTCAATAATCCAAAGAAACCAGGAGATCGACGATGATGTCATAAATCGTATTGGAGTGGGATGGATGAAATAGAGGCTCACAAGCAGTGTCCTATGTGAATGTGCCAACAAGATTTAAAGTAAGTTCTATAGAGTAGTTGCTAGACCAATTATATTGTATGGGACAGAAAGTTGACCATTCAAGAACTCACACGTTTAGAAGATAAAAGTAGTGTAAATGATGTTGCTTAGATGGATGTGTGGGCATACTAGGAGAGATAAGATAAACGAAGATATACGAGACAAGGTGGAGTAACCTTCATAGTGGACAAGATGCGGGAAGTGAGATTGAAATGGTTCAGGCATGAGAAGAGGAGGAGCACCACCCTTGTGATTAACTATCAACTAAATTAAACCAAATAATTAATCTATTCAAGCGATTTTCTAGAGTGTGACTTCTAAAGTGTGATTAATTAACTACAACTAATCTAGAGTAGCAAACAAAGAGATTAAAGGAACAAGTTGGTGAAATTAGACACAAATTCAATGTGAGTGAATATTCTAGAGCTATGAGTTCGCTAAAAATCCCGTTGAGTTTTCCACTTAAATCGTCTAATTAATTTATCTAGTTTATTAGTTGACAGAGTTAATATTTCTTGTAGCCTTCTCCCGAAGTACAACTCGCCTATTCAAGCTAACCTAACGCCTATATTCCTATGNTCAATATGATAATATAATAA